AGAAGTGAGAGGAGACACACACACACACACACACACACACACACACACACACACACACACACACACACACACACACACACACACACAGTGTTCAAGTTATCAGAGAAGGCTGGTGAACTCGTCCTAAACTCTCATCTCCTTCGTGCACCCCTTGTCCACCTTTCTCATCAACATTCCCATGGATGACAGACCAGACTTTGATCGCCGCCCCTTTTCCCCTTGTCTTAATTATTTTGGCGGTGGGGATCCATTCTAGATAATATTTTTTTTGTTCCCGCCCCCCCTCCACATTCAAAAATTGGTTTTAAAAGGTAGCGGTTACCCTCTGTTGTCAGTCAACCATCACAATGGAGTGACAAAATACTGTGAACAATTTCGGCTGTGCGTTTGCGGTGCAATGCGGTTTGAAATCAGATTACTGAATGAATTAAGACGACGCATGTGAAAAGCGCAGAAAGAGTGGTCATCTACTCACCCCGCCCTTATTGGTCAGTGTTGTGTGTAACTTTAATGGATCTGAATATGTTCTTCCACATATTTTCACCTTCTACCTGTATACTGTGCTATGAGGACGGGGGCCTGTCTGAAGCTGAGCTGAATAGACAAGGCGTTGTCTGACCAATCGACCGTTTTGTAAGCGATCCTTTTTGCCAAAAGTCGATGCTGTTGTCATTGGCGCCTCCGTGTGGTCATAACGGACAATTCTTATCCTGACTATCACGTCTTTTGGGGGAGCTGTGCAGGAAGCCAAACTCGTGGGTTAACTTTTTATGTGCCTGTTTTTGGATTTGTTTTGTTTCTCTGTAATGTGACCAGTTCTGGACCCTGATATTTCTAAAATATAGTCTAACACTTTCTCATTATAATGTGACATGTATACTTTTTCGACAATAATTCCAGAACTAATACATAATCAGTTGTAAATTGTGGTTGTCTTTTGTTGCTGCTCTTGTGTCGGACAAGAGTGTGTCTTTGCACGTTTGTTCCTTTTTTGAAAGTAAAGCCTTCGAGCTTTATCAACAGAACCCAGTCATTGGGAGGTGTGGCCATATTAAATGCTTCACTGTGTTGTGTGTTTCCTGTTCCATCTTAAACTTTCAATGTTTTTCGATTCTAAATTGACAACCGTACTTAAATCTTGCCATGTGAATGTCAAACATGGCTCATGTTTGACTAACAAAAACATTTTGTGTTTGTGCCTCTACTTTTGATGGCAATATTATCTTAAAGCAAACAGTTTGCCATTTCCCCCCCTAATCACTCATCTGCCTTTTAATGTATATATATTTTTTGTCATATGCGTCCATGGGGAGAGAAAAAAAAGTGTCTTGACATATTACTGTAAACACAATTTTGTAGTTGGATTAAATTGCAATATCCACCTGATTAAGTTATGCAATTGTATGTCTGAGGGTTATATTTTTATGTCATCTCGCTCATTCTTTCTTAGTAATGTGCCTCAAATCAAGCCACTGCATGCAGTTTCAACAATAATGAACTTTATACAAAAACTGAGCTTTAATAAAGATCTCCATGTCGAAACCTCATCTCAGCCCTCTCGCCTGTCCCTGCAGTATATGGCACCACACAACTATGTATATAGACTGGCGTAATTTTTTTAATCTTTTAGCTGGAAGTGACACAAGAATGTTGCAAAACAATAAAAAGTGAACTGAAATTCACAAAAATATTTCCATCCAACTTAAGATTTCATCAAAGTTTGTTGCCAGTCAACCTAATGTGTGATTTTGGAATGAGGGAGGAATTTCAAGGGAATCATTAGTCATAAATTAAGAAAACAATTTTTTTGGTATTGTTTCCAGTAATGTCAATAAGTTGAGGTCTGTATTACCCAAGGGAAGTGTTTGTGTGTGTCGTGGTGTTAGTGTGTGTGTGTGTGTGTGTGTGGGGGGGGGGGGGGGGCGACAAACAGGTGCGTCTTTTCCCCTGCTGACTGAGCAACAAGAGCAGACAAGTTGTGTCAGCCACCACAACACGCAATTAAACTCAGGGGACCCTGGCTGATTTTGGAACAGTATCTTGACTCTCATGTTGTGTAGCGACTATGTTACCATTTCCGGACAAATAACTTCTAACATGCAGCCTTAGAAGTGTTTGGATTTGTTCAAAAGAAATGCATAAAATAGCAAAAAAATAAACATAGCTTCATTCTTTTGTTTGTTTGTTTAATCAAGGGGGCCAGGGCAGCCAGTGGCCTAGCCCTGAATTACAGGGACTTAATAGGATCTGGACGAGGCCTGGTACTAGTATGTGGCCCTGTAGTTGGCTACCCATGATATAATATAAGAGACAAAAATACTGTAATATGGAAAAAACAATGTTTAGAAAAATGAAAAAAAAATGTGACCAATTTTCTTTTACTTTTTTTTTTTTTACAATTTTCTGTTACTACTATACACTATCATTTTACATCTCTCTACCAGTTGAATCAACTCTCCAGCTACCACAGTCACCTCTCCCATGAGGACCCAGGAAACACCTGATGCACCTGGCTGCTTCCTTCAATGTCCTTACCCACAGCAAAGCTCTTCTGACTCGTTTTGCATCGCCTTAGCATGGAACCCTACCGCCTTTTGTTGGGATTAAGTGTCTTTTTCCACTTTGACGCCTTTGCTTCCACAGAGGTCACGTGCAAGCTGAAGGCCAAGTTCAACCTGAATGGCTACAAGGATGTGGAGAAGAAGAAGGTCGTCATCGGCGGGATGTTTCCTGTCCACATGAGCGTTGCTTCCAGCGCTGGCAACACTTCACGGCTGCCTATATCCTCGGGGTGTGAAGGGTGAGTCGAATTTTTGTGTGTTTTCATGACAATTCACTCTATTTTAATAAATTGTGCAATGGGTTAGATAATTTTTTTGTTTTTTTTGCCCAGGTCGAATTCTTTTATTATTAATGCTCGAACTGAAATATTGAAATTGATTCAAGCATTTCACTTATCCCCGAGAAATAACAGGGCAGGGTCTCGGGGGGCAATTAGCTAACATGATTGTGAAGAGTGTTAATATGCCCTCAGTGGGCAGTGCAGCTGTTGTCAGAAATTATGTGAGGTTGACTCAAGTGGAAGGTTTTAGAATAGCAGCTCTACAAAAATGAAATGAAATATTTCTAAAATCTCATTTGGTGAATCAGCATCCAATTATTCTCCGTTTCAAAGCTTCAAAGCTATTGTATAAACATTTGCGTTAAGTCAGCTGGCCTGGCTGAACAACCAATTAAATTGATGAATGGCGCAAGATAATGTCGATTTGTTTGTCTGCGTGTCACATCACAAATTCATTATTGTAGCTTTGGCAGATCAAAATGTCAAACAAAAAACACTGCAATTATATCAAACCTGTTGAAATATGATGCGGGCTTCATCCTCTCTTCACACACTAGAATGAATTACCGCACATTCCGCTGGACCCAGACCATGCTGTTTGCCATCAATGAAATAAACAACATGAAAGAGCTGCTGCCCAACACCGACCTGGGCTACGTCATCTATGACTCCTGCTTCACCATCTCCAAGGCCGTGGAGGGCACCCTCACTTATTTGACCGGCCAAGACGAGGCAGTGCCCAATTACCGCTGTGGCACGGGGGCTCCCCTGGCTGCTCTCGTCGGGGCGGGAGGCTCTGACTTGTCCATCGCCACTGCCAGGATCCTGGGACTCTACCATTTTCCACAGGTATATCATAAATATCTTGTAATAAAATGGAACACCAAATGTAGAACAAAGTCTCGCGTTCATTCAACCATTCTTTAGGTCAGCTACTCCTCAACCTGCTCAGCCCTAAACAGCAAGTTCCAGTTCCCAACCTTCCTGAGGACCGTTCCCAACGACATCCACCAGTCAACCGCCATGGCCCAGCTGGTGCTGCACTTCGGCTGGACCTGGGTTGGAACCGTGGCCGCAGACGATGACTACGGCAAGTATGGCATCAAAGACTTCAAAGAGCAGGTCGAAGAGGCCGGCGTCTGTATCTCCTTCTCTGAAACTCTGCCAAAGGTACGTATCACCTAAGGTACGTATCATTGCACATTTGGTTTTGTTGTCATTTGTCTCACTTTGTGTGGGGTTTTTTTCACCCCTGGAAATTTCAGGTAAATTCCCCTGAAGACATTGAGCGAATTGTCCAAACCATTATTGAGTCCACGGCCAAGATCATTGTAGTCTTTTCATCAGACGTGGACCTCAGTCCTCTGGTGCTTGAACTGATCCGGCAAAATGTGACCAACCGCACTTGGATCGCAAGCGAGGCCTGGGTCACGTCAGCTCTCATCAACCGACCTGGAGTAAGAACCCGCATTTTTTCAAGCCCCTTTTTTAATCACCCTATTTTGACGTGTGCTCAACTATTTGTGTCCAGGTGAGCTCTGTGCTAGGCGGCACCATTGGCTTTGGGGTGAAAAGGGCCGACATACCTGGTCTGCAGCGACATTTACTCGATCTGGACCCTTATGCCGATCCTCTCACTGAGGAATTTTGGGAGAAGGTCGGTGAAATAGTGTGACTGAGTTTAGTATCAATTCGAGATAGTGGGAAGCAACTAACTTTGTTGCTGCACTTATTATTATTTTTTTTTCGCTATTTGTTCTTTAATTGGGTATTCATGTTTTTTAAACATCTGCTTTCAAAAAAGTCACTTAAATCCATCAATAGTCAATAGTTAACCAACATTCTACCAATACAGTAGTCACTGCAGTTTAGCGTCCTCCATAAATGAATCACATTTGTACTGTGATAGTTTGCAGTGATGAAAAGAGCCTTGGTCACTGAGTCGGTAGAGCATCAGAATTGGAAACATAATCTGGAACTCAAACCCAGGCAGCATTAACAATTATGGTGCCACAGATTCAGAGAAGCAAGATATTCCCTATCTGCGGCCTTATTTAAAAGAATATTTTAATATTGGATGCTTCAAGATTCTTGATGAATGCCTTGTGTCTTGCACGGGATGAAAAAAACAACAACACGTTTTTGGCATTTGTCCATCTAATCTGAACACCCCCCCCAGTACTTTTGTACTTAACTCATTCACTCCCAAAGACGTTTTTAAACGTCTTTTCAGACTTGGTCCAGAATTGGCTGATACTGAATGAAGAACATATCAGAGTTTATATTTTTTTTACTCTTACTTCAGAAAAGTCGCTGAATCAGTACTTTTACTCCCAGAGTCATTTTTTAAAGTATTTGGTACTTTGGCTTGAGTACAAATTTTGAGTACTTTTGCCACCTCTAATAAACAAACACTTCCTGATTATTTCGATGTGTGTCTTACAGCTGTTCAACTGCACGTTAGATTATGGTAAAGCTCTAAGAACGGCCAAAGAGAAGGCCAAGGCATTCAATGGGACAATGTCCAAGGCAGTAGAGGTTGTTCTTGGCGGTTTGTGTACCGGCAGTGAGTCCCTGGCTCAGCTCAACAACACGTACTCTGACGTCTCCCAGCTACGAATCACCTACAGGTCACTTCACACGCCGCTAAGATAGCACTAAAGACTTGGTGATGCCGTCTCTTGACAAATGTAGCTTTTATCTATGGCAATCATGATTTTAATGAGGAGTTGTCATGGTAGACCGCATTGTCTTACTACAGTGTGTACAAGGCGGTGTACGCCGTTGCCCATGCTTTGCACAATCTGGAGCACTGCAAGGCGGGACAGGGGCCGTTCATTGGGATCGGCTGTGCTGACATCACCGAGTTTGAGCCATGGCAGGTACATGCTTTTGTGCGTGTTGTCAAATCACTCAAGTTAAAAGTAAATGAAGGCCACTTGTGTGTTTGATTGGGCTCTGACACTTGTTCATAGCTGATGTACTACCTGAAGAATGTGCGCTTCAAAGTGCCACACACAGACGAGGAGGTCTACTTCACTGATGGAGATGTGGAGGGCTTTTACGACATCATCAACTGGGGAGTCGATAGCAACGGGGAAATATCTTACTTGACTGTGGGCCACTACAACGGTTCTGTGGCTCCAGAGCACAGGATGACCATTCGGAATGATTCCATTGTTTGGAACAATGAAGCATTGGAGGTCAGTAGCACGATGTTCAAATGAGCCATGGTGGCTTTTAAATGATTTCAAAGTTATGTAAGTGCATCTGTGCTCTTCAGCCTCCTCGGTCAGTGTGCAGTGAGAACTGCATGCCTGGTACCAGGAAAGGGATCCGACAGGGAGAGCCTGTTTGTTGCTTCGACTGCATTCCGTGTGTCGATGGCGAGATTAGCAACATGACAAGTCTGTATACTATTTCTCCTTTCTCCTAAAAATATAAAACACCGTGTACAGTATATGGAAAAACAAATCTACACATCCCTGTTCAAATGCCAGGTTTTTGTGAAAAAAAATGAGACCAAGATAAATAATCTCAAAACTTTTTCCATCATCAACGTGATCTATAATCTGTAAAACTCAATTGGATTTTTTTCCTTTCAAGGGGGGAAGTAAATTTAAAAAAAAAAAAGGCCGCTGATCAATACTCATCCGCACAGTCAGGGGCGTGTTATTAAGAAGAATTTAAAGATGGTAGTGATGATAATTCATTCAATCAATTGATTTTTACAAAGTGATCTTATATGCGGTGTCAAATATTATTACGGTTTGAAGCCATTGGCGTTTTGTTGTTGACAGACGCCCGGGAGTGTGTCCTGTGCAGTGGCGATCACTGGTCCAATGACGCTCACGACGCCTGCGTGCCCAAGATCGTCGAGTTCCTGGCCTTTGGAGAGCCTCTTGGGATCACTCTCATCGTCATCTCTGCCTTTGGAGCCCTTGTCACCTTCGCTGTAGCGGTGAGAATACGCTTAAGAAAACTTCCCATGACTGCGGCGCTGCAATAAAAGCGCCGCCGTTTTGTAGGTGATCTTTGCTTTACACGTCGGCACTCCTCTGGTGAAAGCCAACGATGCTCTCCTGAGCTTCTCGCTGCTCTTCTCGCTGATGGTGACCTTCCTCTGCTCCATCGTCTTCTTGGGAGAGCCTCAACACTGGAGCTGCATGACCAGCCAAGTAGCTCTGGCTCTGGGCTTCGCACTGTGCCTTTCCTCCCTAATGGGTAAGGCGGGAGAAAAATGCGTGTGTAAAGTGTTAGAGCTAATGGCAGTTCTATCTTCCATATGATAGATTATCTTTAGTCTATTATCTTTATCATTCTACCCAGGCAAGGCGGCATTACTGATGCTGAGAGCTCAGGCTATGAAAGCGGCCCGTGCCAAGGCGAAGGCTGCTTCCAAAGCTGCCAAAGCCGCAGCGGAAGCGGCAGCCAACAGTGGTGGCCCCGATGTCATCGCAACCAACACAACAAGCCTCAACGATGTTGCTGCTCGCGTCAAGCCTGACGGCCTCACATTTGCGCACCAGAGGGCGATAGCTGCTGTGGCCACATTGATTCAGGTAAAGAGCAAAAGCGTATCCTTCGTTCCAGTTTATCTCAGAATGTGAATTCTGTTCATCATGATCGTCCAGATATTTGCCGTTTTGGCTTCCGGCGTTCGGTCCGCTCATCGACATCGTCCTAGCGAACTGCTAATTGATTGGTGCTGACTTCCGCCTAGGGCAGGCAGTGTTTGATTGGCTCAGTATCAAATTGCGCACCTTGATAGATGATCGTCCTAGCGAACTGCTAATTGATTGGTGCTGACCTCCACCAAGGGCAGGCGGTGTTTAATTGGATCAGTATCAAAAATTTCACACCTTGATAGATACCTTTGACTGAATTTGACTGATTTCTGCTATCGCGTTTGGCTTGCCTGTTTTAACAGCCAGTAAAATAGCTTACAGCATTTCACTCTGACAGTCGCCCACAATATAAATCGTCAGTGATATCTTTGGTCTTGTGTCACATGCCATCAAGTGCTTTGTTCTGCAATTTTGACCCAACAATTTCCCACTTAGGCTTTCGCTTGTACCGTGTGGCTCATCCTCCTGCCGCCCTATCCTGTGAAGAACACTTCAGCTCAGAACATAAAGATCATTCTGGAGTGCAATGAAGGTTCTGTGGTCTTCATCTGTTGTATTTTTGCCTATGATATCCTACTGGCTCTGCTGGCCTTCGTTTTTGCTTTCCTGGCCCGGAAATTGGAAGATCACTTCAGGTGGGGGGAGCAGTAAATCCTCCGGTAAAGCAACATAACAGTCGTCACGGTTTGGTTTCATGCACATGTCCAATGCTGTGTTCCAGTGAGGCCAAGTGTGTGACCTTCGGCATGCTGGTTTTCTTCATCGTGTGGATTTCCTTCGTCCCAGCTTACCTCAGCACACGAGGCAAGTTCATGGTGGCCGTCCAGATTTTTGCCATCCTGGCGTCCAGCTTTGGGCTGCTCAGCTGCGTCTTCTTGCCAAAGTGCTATATTCTCCTCCTCAAACCTGAACGCAACACCGAGGAGATGATGAGACCCCACGACAAACCACGTGATGGAACCTCAACCGGGACCTCGGCGTCACTAGCTACCTCCGCCACTGAGGTCAACTCTACAATCGCTTCAACTGCTTTTGATGATTAGATGTACTGTAGCTAGGCAGGGCGAGATTAGATTGTATGTTACAGTAAAATGGACACTTTATAGACCAAAAATGCACTTGGAAAATGGAAGAAAATGTGGCTTTCCTGCATCAGCCACTTTAGGCCTTAAGACTTCCGTCCATGTCGTTAATATTTGAAAATGTATTTAATTTTTTTTAGCCACTTACACTCAAGTCATCCATAAAGTGCATTTCTTTATGTAGGCCTATATTAGAAATACGATCATATTTTTGACTTGTATTTGTACTGTACTAGTGGCATCGGATACTTTCTAAGGGGTTGTTCAAGTGTGATGGTTGACGAAAACAAAATAAAACTCTCAAAACAAAGAGCCGACATCATGTCATTATCATCATCTTACTATATTATAACTCGCAGCGAGTGAAACCAAATGACAACTTTTACATCGATGTTAAAATTAAGAAAGCCTGAGATAAAAATTTTGACTTGAAATGTATATTTCAAAGTGTCTCAGAACAACACTTTCAATCGCCTGGCGAAGCAATGAGACATCAAATTGCTTCGAATTTTAAGAAGCGTGTGTCATCTACAGCACGTCAGTACATTCACGTGTTCATGAGCACCTGCCTTTCCAGGAATCAGCCAAGCTATGAATGTGTCCAATCAAAGTTGTCAGTGTGCATGATGATAAATTTTGCAGGTGACAGAGCGGTGAAGGAATGTGTTTAGAATTTACCGCTCGCTGACAAGCTGGGACAGCTGCTAAATCATGTTAAAAGGTGCACATATGCACCACCACGGGTGTGCTGCATGTGTCATTCCTGTATTACGCAAGTGCTGTGCTGACCAGGCATCTTTTAGGGGAATGCATTTAATAGGGGAGGGCTCTACTTGTACACTTGACCTTTTGATGGCAAAAATGTATATTTTCTATACCACTTGCTCTCATTAGGGTTGCACGTGAACTGGAATCTTATCGCATTTGACATTTGGCTAGAGGAAAGGATAACGGTGACTGGTCACCTGTCCAACAGGGGGCATATGTACTGTATAGCAAGATTGTCAACCATTCACAATCACATTGACATTTCTTTCCCAAAGTGTTGCCTTACATACTGACACCTTCTTTCCTCACAGGGAGACTCTTCTGCTTACGCTTAAAAGCCAAGTACAGGGTTGTGCTATTTCATTGTATTTTCCACCGACAGATAGTTTTAAAATTGTAGATACTGGATACTGATACAAGTTGTAGTTGGGAGATGTCCGATTATTATACTTTGGCTAAGTAATGCATTTGTGTTCCTCAGGCCCCAGCCCAGAGTCTTGTGACACGAGGAATGGTGTTTAAAGCCTAAGACCTCAAAGAAGTCTAGAAGGTGTGTAAATATAGAATTGTCATTGGAAAAACAATCACGCGTGCCAGTTTACATGTAGCGTATGTCAACCTCCGAACACAAACACTGGAATCGTGTGGAGCCCCAACTGACTCGTATTGTGTGTACTTTCATGAACTAAAATTAAAACTCGAGGTTGTTCAAACACTTGACCATCTGCGTGTGCACTTATCTCGGCGTAAGAGCGTGTTTATGTATGTGTGTATTGTTGACACACTGGCATGTTTGTCTCCCTCCTTTAAGGCCAGCGCAGAGCAGTGACGAGACAAGGAAACCCGGATCCTGTTTCAGGGCGGATGATGCTATAAGAAGCCGGCGTGCACTCTCCAGTAACATACAAAGCTGAGAATAAGAAGGCAATCGTGCGAAAGACATGCCAGCAAGTAGTGAGTCTTGAGGCACAGCGGTGTATGGCGAAAGAGTAGGCAACTGTGGCGAAGTGGTAAAATCGGTCTTTGAGTGGTCCAATCGGGCACCACCTGCGATCATGATAGCTGCCCGCAGCAGCGGAGGGGGGGTCGGAGGACACCAGCCTCCTCCAATACACAGGGAAAACTCCGTAAGCTCCGCCGGTGGGACGAAAGTTCAAGGCCACGGGAACTCCACGGAGGTCAGGTGTAACGCCTGCTCTGGACGACAGGGGGCGCCTCATCAAAACAGAGCAGCGATACTCAGAGAGATGGAGAGCAACTGGTACCTGAAAATGTTTGGACTGGGCAAAGAGGAAACGGTCACCCAGAAGACGGGCATGCCCTACAGGTCAGTCCATGACACATTCCCCAATTTTTAACATCTACATTGATTTTAAAAAGTCAGTGTGGTGTGCACAATATGATCAACAAAACGTCCAGCACCTACATGACAATAATTCCTCTCTCAACCAGCAGTCAGGCAAAAATGGTTCTGATATCCAAGACTGCTATTGTCACCTTAAGTCCACGTCATCTTATTCTGAACGACAAATGATCATTGCTGCATTTGTCTCCTTACATCTTAACTATTGCAATTCACTCTTCACTTTTCACAAGACAACTTTGTCGCCAACTAGCTCAGAAATCCCTTGCTAGGCTTTTCTTCTCGATCTCCTGGATACAAAAGAAAATGTCACATACAATTCGCAAGGCTTTGTAAGTTACAAAGTCCTCAATGGCTTACTTTTGCCTCTGGTCAGCTTCCTCCATACTTGGTGGAGATTCCTATTCGGTGACTCTTGTCTATTGACTGCTTTTTAGCCACAAATTGTAGATTTCACCTCCGTTTACTCTAAAAGGTGCCTCTTCAGCAGTCAAAGACAAATCTGTCCAGGTGACATTATCGTAAGAAGTGGAAAAAGAAGAAGCTACTGTCGGTGAACAGTTGGCTTCATCCAGTAACTGCGTTGTGGTTGCAAACTCTTCTCCTGGCCATTTTTATTGTGAGTTGTTCCTCTATTTGTGTACGGCAACTGCACAAGATTCAGCTGGCTTTCTAATTGGCTATCATGTTCCATTTCACTTCACAATCAAAGTCTGAAGCCAAATTCGGTCCAAAGGATTTGCGTTTGCAAATATAACACAGGCTTAACAGTTAAGATTATCAGCTGCAACTTTTTTCTCTGCAGATCAGGGTGGGGGAAAAATAAAATTCAGTCAAACCTCACAAGAAAGTGGCCTAAGATCATTTTTTTCCATCGATCCTTTGCTGACTTATTGGAAAAATAGAAAATTTGGGACCCTTCGTCAGCATGTGTTTTCCTTACTTTAGCTGATAGATCATCAAGGTATTTTTGGGCGAGGCTGTCACAGTGATAAAGTATTTCCTCTCGTGGCTCATCGTTTCATTTGTGAGTGTTGTGTGTCGCCAAAGTCTGACCCGACTTAAGAGTTATGTCACTTGATCTTGCTCTAATGCTAAAAGGCAGCATCTGTCCTGTTGCATTCGACCATGTTGATGTTGACCAACGCCATGGCGACAAAACAAATGGAAGTGGTGGGAGCGGTGAGTTGGGCACATTAAGTGTTGATCCACGGTGACGTCGCTTCCAAGATGGGGATTGCGACCCTGCCTTGTGAAATTCAGAATGTAGTCATTATCCCTCTCTTTGTTTCTCACTCATAGATAATGTGGGCTCCTTCGCTTTTTCCCACACTCTGTTTTTTTTGTTGCAAAACGCTTAAACGCTCCGTGGCCCACTGCAATCATCCGAGCTTAAAACCTCACATTCATTTGTTCTCCTATCGCCTCTTTTACAGTTCCTCTGACTTTGTTCACTAACTCATTTGGAAAAAAGATCATCATGAATAAGAACCGAGGCATTCTCTACATGTTGTATTGATAATTCATCTTTTTAAAACACATTATTTAGTAAGACAAAGTATGGTGGCGGCATGCTTGCTGGAACTCGGTGAAAGATGCAAAGAAGTGCTTCATATTTTGCAGGGGTGCCCAATACATCGATCGCGATCGAGCGGTAGCCTGCGGACTGGTACCAAGTCGATTGCTGGGGGTGTTGGGGAAAATGGAAAAAAAAAAAAAAAAAGATTTGTGTGTCTGTGTGCATCTTATTAATATGATATTAATTAGATTATAATTTGTGTGTTAGTGCACACTGCACCCGAAGCATCCTTTCAGTTTCACTTTTACAAAAAAAAGTATTTAAACAAATAAAATAAAATTAAAAAGCAGGTCACCTTTACCCTGCGGTGGCGCATGATTTGCATCACTGGAAGTTGTTCGCGGTCGTCAGCCTGCAATTGCAGCTTGCAATCAGAGCTGTTGTGATATATCGTTTATGATGATGATGATGATGATGATTATTACTCTTAATCAAAGTTTGTTTCATGTACAATTCACCGATGGCATTGGCAAAAAATACGAATCTGGAGTGCCAGGAGAAGCATTTTAAAACGGTAGATGTACGCGCACACACGCAAACACAGATACTAGTGAGCAGTGTCACCCGGGGATTCACTTCTCTATTGATTGTAAAATTTGGTTGAAATTGTGGCTCCTACTTGTACTCCCACTACGGAGAGATTTCTGTCTGTTGGATGCACCAGAATGGAGAAACATACACAAGCACACACGCGCATGCCCGCACGTGCATGCGCACACGCGCGCAAATGCTTTTAGCCCTGTAGCAGTTCTATTTAAAACTGGGACAGAATATAACTACAGATTTCCCAGGGATCTTTAACTGAGCTAAAAATAGCTTTTGTGTTTTTTTTTTTCCCCCTGAAAAACTATTAATGCCAATTTGATTATACACAGGATATTGCAATAAAATGTTCTTATTCTGTAGTCACCCGCTTCATTTCCTGATGAAATTATTTTGGATTGTATTTTGTGCAGCCGACCTGTATTTAATCTGAGATGAGATTGTTTACAGTTTTCGCAGCAACAAGTTGTCACCTTTACCATTTTTTTGGATTAATTAGTTATATTTTATCTTTATGAAATACATTTTTAAGAATCAAATTAGCTAATGGTAGTTCACAATAAATATTTAAAAAACAGATACATTTTCAATGTTCACTCTGCAATAATCAGTATCGTTTGAAAATATGTTTTTTTTTTCTTTGAGTGTTAAAAATATGATCCCCACTGTGCTCTTTGGCATGAGGCGGGTTTCGATCTTCAGTGATAATAACGTTGGGCTTCAGTCGGATATGTAGGCCACCACATTGGTCTTAAATAGGAGCAGGACACTCCCTGAGGCCTGGAAAATGATCACTGGCTTAATTATTGCTGCCACAGCACCGGATGAAATGAAACGAGCCTTCTCATTTAAGTTCTCAAAATACTAAGATGATTTCACGCTGTGTAAGATATTTAAAAAAAATAATGATCATTTTTCATCTTCTGTTTGTAATGGCTCAGTTCTTCATTACGAAAAATGATACTGTGTATAGAGTTGCACACGATTGTAGTGGGAGTGTGTGTGGAGGTGGTGGGGCGCCGAATGAAAGCTTAATTAG